GATAATATTGACACTTTTACTTGATGTGTGGTTGATTTGGGTAGGCAACAGCAACTTCCGACCTAAGACATACAGGGTACGGTGTCAGACGAGTGTCCCTGTATGACGTGTGTATCGGGACCCGTGTGTACAGATTCACTGTAGTAAGGGATGAACTGTGCTTTAACCATGAGCTGTCTCATGTGAAGCAGTCCTGCATGATTTTACTCATAGCCACTCCTGAAAATCATTTCATTGATTTTTGAGGACAATGTGTTATCCAGGCACATAGTGATGTAGGTTTGGGCTGTTTTGGCTAGTATGGAAAGATGTGTTTAAGAGACAGAATTCAGTGTTGATAACGGTTTTAGGCTGTTAGTCTAGTGTGTCGCCGATTGAATCCTGACGTCCAGCAGAATCCTGATGTTGTAGATGTGTTGGGTCGTGTATAAACATCAGGACACCTGGGCCCGACTGTAGACTACATTCAGTCTGCCACTCTTCGGGACTTGTTGCCACTCTTGACGTGACAAGGATCATTTTGTGTCACAGCACACCTCGGAATTTATTTCAATTGTTTTGGAGAGTGTTTTCCTTATGTGTGTAGGAGTGTGCACTGCAGTGTTCTATGATTGGTTCACTCTTACACAATTCACGGAGAATCTGTGATAAATCATGGCGGTTCCCACTATATAAATTGGATGTTACCGGATGTCGACTTCTCAGGTTTTGTGAATGATCGCCTGATTAAACCCAGAAATATAAATACCTTGGCCCCGGTATAATACATCTTCAGTGTGGATTGTTTACAGCCTGGTAGAGTGTATGCACACCTTCCATAAGGATTACAATACATGTGTACAATCTTTATACTAACAAAGGATTTAGGTGTACGTTGGGATGAGAGGTATCGCAGCTCGAGCCCGGGTAAATGTCTCCTGCGTTTATGTCTGTATATTGATATATTATGTGTTTTCTGTATAATTTATCTTGGATGTCTCCATAGTCAATTTTCATTAACGATCTAACCACTAGTTGATTGTCAAAGTGGATTGATTAAGTCATAACAGGGTGTGATGTTTCCTGGTATTATGATAGTGTAATGGTTAATCGAGGTGATACTGATTTAATGCAGGAATATTGACCGATAGCTTATACAGTGTTAAAATGTGTACTTAGTACACAGACTCTTCACAGTATCATTATCACACGTAAATAATAGCACACAGGCCTTTCACTATGTTGTTTGCATACAATTTGTTAATCAACTTGATAGAACTCCATAGAGCCTTTAAAGGAAATGACTATATAGGTACTTTGGTTAATTATTCAAATGTGTTATGACTTTTTGACAAGGTATGCACACTCTAAGTGTGTGACCTACTTTAGGCTGATATCTACCACCAGTGTTAATATTGGCCTATGCACAGATATAACAGACTGTGTATAGGACATACATCTTACCACATTTCTCTCTGTTTTATGTCATTCTGGTGTATATACTTACTGCATTATATCTATGCAAACATTTCTTTCCGCTACATTCTAGAATGACAAGTTGAAAAATACAAAAATGATTTTTTTTAGTGGAATTTGAATATAAACTCTTGTTATAGTTCTGTTTTATTAACTAATTTACATAAATGCACACCTAATAGCAGTAAGAATGAGTTGTTATATATCATAATTAGCTTCTTTTAAGACAGCACTTTCTACAACGGAAGAGAATATTGTTGGTGGTTTAAAGATGATTTGTCATACCTGAGTAATCTGACCCTTGTCGAAAGTAGACCGCCAATTACAGATGTCTGTAGATTGTTAGGACAGATGACTGAATATACAACATAATCACTTTACACAGCTTTTCCTCTGGATCATTATGTTAACACTACACTTGGTTACAAAGGCAGTTTACACAGCTTTTTCTCTGGATCATTATGTTAACACTACACTTGGTTATAAAGTCAGTGTACACAGGTTTTCCTGTGGATAAGTATACTAACCTAACTCATGGTTACAAAATCAATTCTGACTGAAATTCTGTAGATCTATATAATACTGACCTACCTTTTGGTTATAAATCAGTTTAGACAGGTTTTCCTGTGTATTCAGTACACTAACCTACATGTGTACCTCATTGTTGTAAAATCAGTTTAGACAGGTTTTCCTGTGTATTCAGTACACTTACCTGCATGTGTAATTCATGGTTATAAATAAGTTTTGACAGGTTTTCCTGTGTAGTCAGTACACTCACCTACATGTGTAATTCATGGTTATAAAACAGTTTTGACAGGATTTCCTGTGTATTCAGTACACTAGCCTACATGTGTAACTCATTGTTGTATAATCAGTTTAGACAGGTTTTCCTGTGTCTTCCGTACAATAACCTACATGTGGAACTAATGGTTATAAAATCATTTAAGACAGGTTTTCCTGTGTATTCAGTACACTAACCTACATGTGTAACAAATGGTTATAAAATCATTTAAGACAGGTTTCATGTGTATTCAGTTCACTTACCGACATGTGTAACTAATGGTTATATAATCAGTTTAGGCAGGTTTTTCTGAGTATTCAGTTCACTTACCTACATGTGTACATAATGGTTATCTAATCAGTTTAGGCAGGTTTTTCTGTGTATTCAGTTTACTTACCTACATGTGTAACTAATGGTTATATAATCAGTTTAGGCAGGTTTTTCTGTGTATTCAGTTCACTTACCTACATGTGTAACTAATGGTTATATAATCAGTTTAGACAGGTTTTTCTGTGTATTCAGTATACTAACCTACATGTGTAACTAATGGTTATATAATCAGTTTAGACAGGTTTTCCTGTGTATTCAGTACACTAACCTACATGTGTAACTAATGGTTATAAAATCATTTAAGACAGGTTTCATGTGTATTCAGTTCACTTACCTACATGTGTAACTAATGGTTATAAAATCAGTTTAGACAGGTTTCCTGTGTATTCAGTACACTCACCTTCATGTGTCGGTAATGGTTATAAAATCAGTTTAGACAGGTTTCCTGTTTATTCAGTACACTCACTTACATGTGTCGCTAATGGTTATAAAATCAGTTGACATGTTCTCCCTCAGTATACTAGCCTAACACTCATGGCTGACCAGGATTCAAGCTGCAGTATCAAGCTAACCAGCCACACACCACCTGGTTTACCCACCTATGATTTTGTATGATAGAGGAATGTGATCCAGATTCCAGGCTTTCCTGTAGGGATAGAATATCACTGATGCATGTCATCATGGAAGCCTAGTTTGACCTGTCCCTTATTTTTAAAGAATGGCAAAAACTGTACAACAAAACAACACTATCTAGCCCCTTGGTGATCCACCCCTCTGATTTGTCTTGTAACACTGCCCATTATAGAAATAGTTTGGGTACAAAACCTCAAATCTGAGAAGAAAATATTCAGTCCTCGAGCACCTGGATCCATTCACCCATTACTATTGTCATATATCATGAATTTTGTTCTATATTCCCCATCTCCTTCTCTGCTTAAAAATGACTAGGGAAGAAAATAAATTCCTCATAAACGCTAAGGTTTCCTCATTGTAGGGTCATATAAACAATCAAGTAACTGGTTAAATATAGGATAGCAATGTTAGGGCGACGTATAAGGAGCAATTTCATTGGTTAATATCAGAAGTTCACTCTTTTATAATGAAAGTGAGAAAAAAGACATCATACTACATGTATTTGATCATCGCGTGACATCTTGATTATTTGCACTTTTTGCCCAGGTTTAAATATAAATAAACTTTCTGTACATAAATGAATGTACTGTAGGAAAAAAAAGATCTCCGATACTTGGTTTTAATGTTTATTTAACACTGAAATTTGTAAAAGACACTTGGTAAACAAAACCGAATGTCTTATGAAAAATTATGACAACTAACTGAAGTTACACAAACATGACAACCAAGAAGCACTTATTGGTGAATCTGTATAACTTCTGCACACAACTGTAAGTCATGTCCACGATCAGGTTTCCTTAGTGACCGTGCGTTCCACCCTCTCTTTGTGCTCCACCCTGTCCACACCATCTCCTATCATGTAGTATAGTGGCCAATAGACCAAATTGTCCCCAGGTTCCATTAATGTTAGTATTAAGTAATTACATTAGTAACATAAAGACCGATTGAGTTTGATTTGTGTCAGACTACCAGCCATTGCTGATAAACATTGTGGGTGGGGTCAGGTGTCCATTTTTCCTGGACTCGTGTCTAGTCACCTTTCTTTAGTGTCGCTTGGCATGGTCAAGTAAGGGGTAAAGGGCCTTCTGGGACACCTCAGGCCTGATGAAGAGGGTTTGTTTGATTAGCCAATCAGCACCCTGCTTTATTAGTTTCTAGCCACTGAGATCAAATAGACATATATGGTGGACACAGCTAGTCCCCCCATCACTGAAGGAGCTGACCAGATACATGCAGCCAGTGTTGGTCTAATATTGACCTGCCCTGGCGGCAGAAAAAACAAATCTCCCCAATATCTTTTTATTATTTATCTAGTACTCCGGTGTAGTGAATAATTATTAATATTTGTGTGTGTAGATAACTGTGTGCAATGTACAATGCATTGTGGGTAATGAGTTGTTCATCTCTTTAAGATCTATGGTATTACAGACTCTGTAATGTGGTTTTTCACAAGGTATGGGGTAAATAAGATGAAAGAACAGACACCAATCTGATGTTGTATCCGATATATGACTGTTAATACCACTTCCATATGGAAATCATGTGGTTTGTCTTATGACCATCCCAAATATCCCAACTACTACATCTCCAACTCAGAAATTTGCTGGTTTGTCTTAAAATTACGACCATCCCATAATTTCTTGGCAATATTCACCTGTTGTTAAATTGTGATGATTGTATCACCTCATTTAGAAGTGTTTCTATTCCAATGATGGTTTATCTGAATGTATTATTAATGACATATCTTATAGTGATTGAGAGTTGTTAAATAACAAACTCAATGTGGATATTTATTTTCCAGGCAATTCTGTCCAAGACTGGTGGTGATGGCCTTGGAAGATCACTAAGTCCATCCCCGCCGGAAAATCGGCCAAACAGGTCCTCGTCCCGGCTATCCTCGTACATCAGACCCCCCAGCAAACAGATCATCCCCGCAGACTCCATCACAATCAACAAAACTCTTGGAGAAGGGGAGTTTGGTGTGGTACAGCAAGGAGTTTGGACGACAGAGACTGGTGAAAAAGTAAGCAGTGCTATAAATAAATATGTTTTGTTTTGATTCCACTTCTGGGACCAGACCTCCACAACCCTATCAGAGAGAAATATCAGAACAAATGAGCGCTGATTGAATAAAACCCAGTGCCAGTATATGCACAAAAATTGTGTTTTTATAATTTTTGGTACTTCTAACTTTGAGACTGGTATTTTCAACCTTTTGTAAAATAAACATCATGTTGAGATGCAGATTAGATCTCTTCATTGGAGTCTGAGATATCAACATTTTGTCCTGAGGAAAAGTGTCTGGCTTTATCTAAGTTTCTGACATATTTTCTTATCATGGGACATTCTAGACTTGCTACCAGCCCTTAGTAGATTTGAAGAATTTTCCAGCTGCATTTTTTTATTAGTTTATCTCCCCTAGTTGTCACAAATGCAAGTGATAAAAATAATGAAAGCCTCATTTATCTGAATTATTCAATATTGTAGAGATGGGGGCCTGTCTAGGGGGGTTACTGCCTTCTGTACAGAGGGTAACAGTGTGTTCTGCCAGGTTGATTAATACCACTTTGGCACCAGCATTTTTCATACCTCAACATCTCTATGAAATGTTAACATCCTCAACAGACTGCTATAATAGTCATATAATGTAATATTCTATGTTAGTGTTTCTACAAAGCACCTAAAATGTACAAGAATTATGATTTTTTTTTATTAAAAACCCTAGAAGTATGGTAATAAAATGTAATGGAAAATCCCCTCGTCTTCCATGGCTCAACTGTGATGCTCTGATAATACCAAACTTAGCATTATCGATAATTATTTTCCAGTATAGCTAACATTCCACGAAGTTAAAGCTGTATGTGTAAAGTATAATAAAATCTTGACAGTGATGTAATAAAACTATTTTTAAACAAGGAAATAAGACATTTATTTGTATCAATATATCCTGTCTGAGTGATGACAAACAACATGTGGAATTCTAAATATATGTTTATAAAAAATCCTAAATTTCCTGTATCAGATTTGTTTTGTGGTGAATATAAGGGAAGTAACTTGTACAGTACATCAGCGGGGTATTCCGTAGATGACTCACTCTATCATATTGAACCTACCCTACCTTTGTTGTTTCTAACCTCCTACATTGGTCCGTTAAATCCTGTAGATTAAGAATCCCACTGAGGAGGTTTTACCTTGATAACCCCCTGTGCTGTTTATTGGCCCAAGTTTGTTTTTGAAGTGTAAACTTGCTGATAGATCTCTATAGATCGGTGAAGGTCCGCCAAAAAACAGATAATTTCACACAAGGGAAATAATTTGGTCATTATCAATCACTTTCTTTTTATTAAAAAAATAAATAAAAAAATCTCGATTTAATGAGGTTGTTTAAAGTCAATAATAAAGTCACCAGTCACAGACCTTTTACATCTGTAGACCCTTCATAACCGGTAGAGGAATGTCGATTGTGTATGGTAAATAGGATCGTAGGATCTTTAAATTTGTAGGATCTGTACTTTATAATGTGCTTTTTCTTGTTTTCATCATTTACTGACTTAAATTATTAAAAGAGTGTTACTTAGCTCCAATGTTCCAGATGTATTGCTCTGCTGCAGAAAGAATTGGTTACGAGCTGGTGATAACAAATAATAAAAAATTGTTAGACTTCTGGAGATTCACAAGGTGAAATTAAAATTCTAGACAGTTCTTGCTTTTTTCCTCCATAAAAGCTTTCTATATAAATTGTTGTTTGTATGAAACCTAGGTCTCAAATGTTTTGTTGACATATTCAGTTCTAAATTAAATTTTTGTTATCTTATTTAATAGCAATCTTACCTGTATAATGTATACATTCTAAACATGTCATTTCACTTCAATGTTTTTAACATTATAAAGCTTATGTCAAGGAAATTAAAATTCCTTAGTGACATGAAAAGGTAAATCTAAGCTATCATTTTTATGCTAACCACTTTACTTTCTCTTGTGGTATTTCATTTGTACTTTAAGTTGTCCAGTCAAAAAGTATTTGCAAATTAAATTTGCTTATCTAAAAAGTCTTAATTTGTTTAGACATTTATTCTTTTACAGTACAATATGTATAATGAAATGTGCATGCCATCTGCTCCTATTGAAGCTGACTGTGTGCATGGGTAGCAGTTGTACTTACATATACAATTCCTGGTTTATTTTAGGTTCAGGTAGCCATCAAGTGTCTGAGCAAGGAGCGGCTACAAAATGGAACAACAGAGTTCCTCAAGGAGGCTGGTATTATGCAGACCATCGACCATGAGAACATCGTCCGTATGTTTGGAGTCGTTCTTGACAAGGAAAACACCATGATGCTGGTATAAGATTTGTCTTATTATCTTCTTTATTAAACTGCAGTAATGCTTATAGTTAACACTTGCATCTTTTTATGTTACCAGTAAGCATTTCTTACCAAACGAAGCCTTCAAGAGTGGTTTCCCTTTTGAATTATCTGTAATTGAAACTCTCCAAAATTAATTCAGCATTCAGAATAGTTTTATACAATGTGACTAAAATTACTTTAGGTTTTTAGGTCACCTGAGCTTTAGCTCAAGTGACCTATTGCTATCCGTTTTCGTCCGTCGTCGTCCGTCGTCCATTAACATTTTACATTTCAAACTTAAAGTCAAGTTCTACTGGGATGATTGAACTGAAAGTTGGTAGGAATGATCGCCTCATGGTCCTGACAAAGTGTTGTTATTTTTCGGGTCAATCAGAAATACAATTTGGCTGCCATGGCCGCTATTTTGCTACTAAGTTCTAATAGGCCGATCTCACTTAAAATTGGTCTAGGAATGATCAGCTCATGGTCCTGACAAAGTCAAGTTAACATTATACTATTTTTTACTCAAATTGGTACATATTTCAACAACAAAAATAAATACTATAGACTCAGGTGACCGTTAAGGCTCATGGGCCTCTTGTTGTTTCTTTTGTTCTTAATTAACCTCTTTCTGTCCCATCAACATATCCTGTTGATATATAACTTAAGCTGTTAGGTGGATACCATCAACATTACACATTAGATGTTGTGTGAATCTTAGCTGTTGTGTGGATACCATCGTCATAATACCTTAGCTGTTGTGAGGATAACAAAGTCATATTACATAAACTGTTGTGTGGATACCATCTTCCTAATATGTTAACTATTGTGTGGATACCGTCATCATAATATGTTAGCTGTTGTGTGGATACCATCGTCATATGCCTTAAACTGTTGTGTGGATACCATCGTCATAATACGTTAGCTGTTGTGTGGATATCATCGTCATATTACGTTAGCTGTTGTGTGGATACCATCGTCATATGCCTTAAACTATTGTGTGGATACCATCGTCATAATATGTTAGCTGTTGTGTGGATACCATCATCATAATATGTTAGCTGTTGTGTGGATCCCATCGTTATATGACCTAAGCTGTTGTGTGGATACCATCGTCATAATACGTTAGCTGTTGTGTGGATACCGTCATCATAATATGTTAGCTGTTGTGTGGATACCATGATCATAGTATGTTAGTTGTTGTGTGGATACCATCGTCATGACCTAAGCTGTTGTGTGGATACCATCGTCATAATACGTTAGCTGTTGTGTGGATATCATCGTCATATTACGTTAGCTGTTGTGTGGATACCATCGTCATATGCCTTAAACTGTTGTGTGGATACCATCGTCATAATACGTTAGCTGTTTTGTGGATATCATCGTCATATTACGTTAGCTGTTGTGTGGATACCATCGTCATATGCCTTAAACTATTGTCTGGATACCATCGTCATAATATGTTAGCTGTTGTGTGGATACCATCGTCATATGCCTTAAACTATTGTGTGGATACCATCGTCATAATATGTTAGCTGATGTGTGGATACCATCATCATAATATGTTAGCTGTTGTGTGGATACTATCATCATAATATTTTAGCTGTTGTGTGGATACCATGATCATAATATGTTAGCTGTTGTGTGGATACCATCCTCATAATATGTTAGCTGTTGTGTGGATACCATGATCATAGTATGTTAGTTGTTGTGTGGATACCATCGTCATGACCTAAGCTGTTGCGTGGATACCATCGTCATAATACGTTAGCTGTTGTGTGGATATCATCGTCATATTACGTTAGCTGTTGTGTGGATACCATCGTCATATGCCTTACACTATTTTGTGGATACCATCGTCATAATATGTTAGCTGTTGTGTGGATACCACCATCATAATATGTTAGCTGTTGTGTGGATACCATCGTCATATGACCTAAGCTGTTGTGTGGATACCATCGTCATGATATGTTAGCTGTTTTGTGGACCTTAGCTGTTGTGATGATGAAAAAGTCACATTACCTTAGCTATTGTAAAGATAAAGATTGCAATCGACTAACCTCGTCTTAGACATCAATAGTTTACTTTTTGGTGATCAACCTTCTGTGACTTTGAACGTTGATTTATCATCAAAAGAATATCCTTAATCAATAAAGTGTCACCTTCTGTTTGTAGGTGACAGAGTTAGCTCCCATGCGGTCGTTGCTGGAGTGTTTGAAGGAACAGGCCTTGAGATTGGACTTCCCCCTGCCTCGCCTCTGTGACTTCGCCCAGCAGATATGTGATGGTATGACCTACTTGGAGAATAAGCGACTTATCCACAGAGACCTAGCCGTCAGAAACATCCTCGTCTTCAGTAAAAACAAGGTACAACTTTCAATAAGAAAACAGTAGCTAGCAATGTAAAAAGAAGTGTTTAAAGTCAGGATATTGAACCAAATGTAGTTGAAAATAGAGCTTGCGAGATGTCATTACAGCTGTTATAATATTCTATAGAGTACTGCATGGCTGATCATAAATTTTCTTTAGTTGATATTTGTTTCATTCTTTCAAAAAAATAATACGTAAAATAAATACACAATTATTATGGTTTTGTTTGTCAATCAAAAACGGTGTCTAATGTAACTTTTATTTCTTTCAATTTATAACATAATTGTTTGGCTTTTGCTTAAGGTCAAAATCAGTGACTTTGGTTTGTCCCGGGCACTAGGTGTGGGCAAAGATTACTACCAAAGTAACTTCAGTATCAACCTTAAACTACCTATAGCATGGTGAGTATAGGCTTAAACACACTTCTGTTACCTCTATGTGTACAGCAAGTGTGGGTTTCCTTCTAATGCCCCATTATAGAAGAGAAAGTCAGATTCTGTGACAGTGGCACTTCACTGTATCAACATATTTCAATCCAGCTGTGATCTTTGTTCAGTTACATTACTTTCAAAGTCTGTGATAATCATAAAAAAGTAACTCTGTACAGATCATATCAAATGACAGTACATACAGTAATTAACAAAGACTAACTGATTGCTCAAATCGCTTCTGCCCAGATGCTGAAACATTTATCAGAGAAACTATGTGACTTCAATCAAACAGGGTTTTAATTACACAATCGTTGGCACAAATGCTGTAGACAAAATGTTTAATTAGTGTCAAATCTGCCCAGGAGACATTACAGACCACCTCTGTCAACAAACCAACTGTGTTATAATTAAGGGATCAATTTAAAAATCTAATTGCAGTTATCTAATTGCAGTTATTTAACTCATTTACCCCAAAGACACATTTGAACCCTCCCAATTCAAAAGATGAAATAGTTCATTATGAAATTTCAGGAGTGAATGAGTTAATAATGTTAAATGAATTTGTATGAAGGGACCACTTGCAGTAAGACACAACTGAAATTGTTTGTGTTGGTTTTTTTACTGAACTTTATTTGACAAAGGTGGGCTTATTACCAGGCATGGGCTTATTGCTTGATAAGAACTTAAATTTAATGCTGTTCTGTGTTTTCTTTACAGGTGTGCTCCAGAGTGTATCAACTATCTCAAGTTTACATCAGCTAGCGATGTTTGGGCATTTGGTGTTACGATGTGGGAACTCTTCAGCTACGGCCTCCAGCCCTGGGCTAGTATGACTGGCCAACAGGTAGGGTTACATTCTCGCACAGAAATCAAATCAATTTTTGTTTAGTTCTCAAAATGCATTCAAAAAGCATAATATCATTTATCTTGCGTGTGGTATCTTTTCTGTAATTGTTTTCAAATCTAAGCCTTGCGCACAGGACTCAGCTTTAATCAGTAACAGTACTAGTGACTCAGCCTTCTTAACAACAGCAAATTCAATAAGATTCATTGTGGATTATCATTTAGAAGAAGGTCCTTGTTATTGCCTTCCCTCGACTTTATCATTACATCAGTGATTGTCTCCCCTTGGTTTTATCATTACGTGTGTAACTGTTTCCTCCTGGTTTTATTGTTGCATTTGTCTGTTTAGATCCTTGAAGCTATTGACACGCCAAGTGGTCAAAGACTTGACCGACCGGACCTCTGTCCGAAGGAATACTATGACCTTATGTGTAAATGTTGGGACCATGATTCCGCCAAGCGGCCAACGTTCAGTGATATTTTTACACAATTACAATTTGTAAGTATTCCTTACACAACCTCTAATTCTATATCTGATGTAAAAATGTCTACATATACTGTCTCAAAAATTATCAGTTACAACTAGAATACATCCTTCAACATTTTCGTTTAAGTAAACAAATTCAAATTGATCTTGGAATATTGCATATAAAGAACTATCTGTGTACACAGCCTATCTGCACTTTCCTCTCAAGATTATTTTTCTCAAAAGCAGATCAAATTCTCAAGACCAAAATTAGACACGTGTCAAGTAGCCAAAATAAGCCTTGTGCTATTTGGAACACACAGATATACATAAGGTGACAGTACCCAAATCGGATCACCAAACCATCATTTTATTCATTCATTGAAAAATCTGAGGATGAATTTTATTCATTTATGGTTGTATCAAAGGAAGAATATCGATGGGTGTTCTTACAAAAAAAAGATAGGGCCTGGAGCTCATGTGAAATATTTTTAGAACGCACTGAAGTCACCTATCAGCGGTTCCGGTTTTTGCGAATGTCAGGACCCAAATCAGATCAAGGCTTGAATTTTGCAGTATCTTACACTTCAAATGAATACTTTTTTGTCAGCATATTAACATTTTATGATGACCTATGGAATTAATATGAAAACAAGTACACTGTGTTTCTATAGGGTGAATTTATTCCTATAGTCCAAAACAGAATGCAAAAAAGTGGACTTAACTGAATATTTATTAAAGAGAAAGTCTAGATTACCTGTAATTAGAGCATTCAGGTGCATAGGTTTGTTATAATATTAATAAAGGTTAACATGTTTTACCACTACACAGTGTTTCGCATTCTGCTTTGATTGTACCTTTTCCCCAAGATCAAGGTCACAGCACAAGGTCAAAGGTCATTTGTCAATGAGTGATTTTCTTGAATATATCATAGAGCAATTTATATCTCTACCATACACATGGTTGAGCAATACATTATCGGTATATGCATTATAAGCAAGGGATGTGTATGACAATGTCATCTTGTTTATACATGTATTACCATGGTATACAACTGTTGTTACAGATGCGACCAGTCCAGATGAAAGCCTTGAAAGATTTCCCAGAAGTCACTGTGCCAAGGGACTTCCTGTACTACAAAGCTTCTGATATAATTTATGTTATTGATAAAAAGTAAGAATAAATTACTTATTACAAAAGTTGAACACTTCGCCATAAGCAATTTTTATTATGTACAATGCATTTGATGTAAAAATATCTTTTTGTCTTATATGCAAATTTTACTTGTATGTACTTTAACATAAAAATGTCTTCCAACCTAACAATTCCTTGATGCAGATGTATATATGACTAGTAATGTGTGTATTCCTGTGTTCATTAGTCCATCAAATGCACCTTCCTTTGGTCTCTGTCGGGGAGTCCTAAATAATGGTAAAGCTGGATTCTTTGATCCTGTCAACTGTACGCCAATAGCGGAGACCAAACCGGACAGTCCCCTCACATCACTACCCAAGCCATCTATCTCCAGGAAAGGTAGGGCAGGCGGTCGAGTCTGAAACTCCCCTAACTTAATCTGAGTGTGGAGTTAGATATGTCTTAAAAGTCAATATACATCGCTTCAAATTTGAGCATATTTTAAGATTAAAAAAAAACATGTTTATTTCAAATATTTTAAGTGATATCGTATAATGAACTGCAAGGTCTGAAATACGAAATGTGTGCTGTAGCTGAATGATCAGGGGATATTAAGTTAACTTACTTTAAATCAATTATGTTCAAGGTCACATCGGTCAAATGTGTTAAAATCTTAAACAACCTCCCCAACAAGCCATGACACATAAAACAATGATATATATGGATTTTGGATTTCGAGAAAGAGCTATTAGGTTTGTTCACATGAATGACAACCTCGACCTATGTAACAGCACTTTTCATTGTTTTTCTTTATAGAATCAAAACGGAGTTCAAGTAGAAAACTACGAGCTGAGATGATCAGTGGTCCTAAGAATGACCTCCGTCACACCGGCCATATTGGTTATGATGGCGCGGTGTTCGGGGATGTGTCGTTTATCGGAGATAACTACGACAAACTGCCGGTGAACGTTGGGGGTGCAGGTGAGTAAAGCTACGATCTCACAACATCAGCATCTTTCTCGTGATGAATTAAATTAATGCTCCTTCTCTTAAAAAGTCATCCATAATTATTAACAAATGCTCTGGTAAAAATTGGTAATAAATCATATCACCTTTGCTATATTGTACATCTTTCTTTTCGACAACTCACTAACAGATTTTTAAAAATGGTGTTTTTAAGAACACTGGAGAAAGTCACTCTATTCAGATTGATAACCTGGAAACCCTTATGACAGAAATTTATTCTTTCCATTGTTTATAAACGTTTTTGAGGCAGGTATTGTTTTAAAAAAAAAGATTTCACAATTGATTTCTTATTTTTCTTCAATGTACTTTTTTTACATTTTTTCGTTTGAAATTGGAACTATGTGCCCTTTAACATCTGCGAAAAATGTGTTTCTTATTGAATTTATACAGGTGCAAATTCTCCTGTTATAGGTGACAGGTTGTCATCGTTTAGTCTTCACCGACAGAGCCAAGATGGCGAACATGCAGGTCTGTCACTCAATGGTGGGACTAATGGTGTTGGCACCAATGGCCTCGGACACTCTTGGTTAGTATTATTTAAAACAGGCAAATAACCATTTTTCTAAAAATCAGAAAAAACTTTCCACATATTTGTGTGCCCAAATCGGCAAATGAAAAACAGTTTGACATGCCCTCAAAATGTGGTTATTGTATCTTGATAAATGAATTGTCAGTTTTACATTATAAAGACTTGTGATATAAAAAAAAAAAAAAAAAAGTTTTATGATGTAATTAGAATTTGAGAGGATTCTTAAGGTATTTGTGCTGACAGAGGTCCAGGCTGGATGTACTTCTACAAGGGTCTGGCCAATTTCCTCATAATGGAGTTCATTTTACAATCACATAATCACATATCAACAACTCTGGTCACTTGTAAAGTGTGGAGTTTGTGATAGTGTTTGATTAGACTGACAGCATAACAGGACACTTGTGTCTGACCTCAAAACAGCCATATAAACATCATAAATCAGACTAAAGAAATTATTTGCTCTATTTAAATGCCAATATTGCTATGTTGCTCATGGTTGATGGTATATAAGGGGAGGTAACTGCAAAATATAGTACGTAGTCTTGGAAAATATTTTTCTTGACATTCAACTGCCTACAAAATAAAAAGTGTAAATATCTCTTCCCTTAACCTTTTCACCACAGTAGACCATAATGGACTCATCCAGATCAATGCATAGGATAGTCTATTAAAATTGCATAGGGGTGAAAAGGTTAATTTTTCATCCAATTAGATCCACAGACCTTTTTTTATCGGATGATACCATTATAACAATTACTTAATCGATAGTAACAGCTACCGGTAAACAGCAAAATATGATGTCTTTCACATAGTTTAAATGTTCAATTCACAAAAAATTCCAACTGCGCTATTAGGGCTATACAGTATTACTGTGTGCACTGAAGTGATGTCTGTTGTTGGTGACTTTTAGGATCAGCCAAGAGTCAATAAATAGCACCTTCAAGGATGAGATGGACAGCGACCGTACACCTCATTATCAGGATATAGAGGACGACTCACTCTTCGCAGACTTCAAGATGCCTGATATGGGGGTAAGCCAAACACATTCTTAAATGATTTTGAACAAACATTTAGAAGACAGGTTCAGAGAAAGAAAATACTCAATATTTAAAACATAATAACAAGAAATGATCATGATCTGCTAGAAAGACAAAAAAAATGTTTGGGAAATATCTTTAATTTTAATGTTAACAACTGTGATGTATGTGATCATTTTCCTGTTCCAGTCATCCTTCGATTTTGGCGGCTCATTTATGGACGAGGTGTTGAAGGCCTTGAATGAGAAGGAAGCCAAATTAGAGGCATCGTCTCCTTCAGACTCTACCCCTTCCCCTGATTCACAATTCCGCAACAGCTTCAATGATCGCAGTGGGTCGGTGTCGCCACCATCTGTGAAGGAGTTTAAATATGCAACCCCACCACCACTGCCTGCACAACCTCCCAGATCTGTAAGTGTTAATTTGGCTAGAGGCCAAGGCTGTTAACGAATCATATATTTCTTACTGTACGTCAAAAGATGATTTTTTAATTCAATTTTATATATATTCATGACAGTTTATTTTGTTTAATATCTCTTTGATGTACGTTCAAATTCAAAATGTTATAAATTTGAAGATCCTAAAAAAACAATGTGAAAGAATCCTATTCATTAAAGTGGATGTTATTTGCTTCTAAACATCAAAGTTTTTTACAAATAATAATTCGTGATTAATGTTGAAAGTTTGTAACAGCCAAGCCCTCCATCTTGTATGTTTACATACATCCTTTTTGTAGTTTATGTATTATTTAGCTCCAGAAGTTATAAGAATATACATAAACAGAACCTTATAACATAAATGGAAAATCTCTTTTGCTTCCAATCTATTGGAATGTACTAAATTTCTTCTGATTACCCGTGTTGCTTCTAGGGTGCGGGATTCACGATCTTGCAGCAAATTTCACACTCATGCACGCCAGGGGGTGTACACTTATTAACGTAGGGTGCATGATGTGCAATCAAATGCTTCTTTGCATCCCAAACTTTTTTGCATGCAAATGAAGCTCTTGTCACTCTAAAACAAGTATTTATCATGTCAGTACTAAAAATACCAGTTTTCAGATGAAGAAGACTTGTCGGCAGTAAGACCTCCTCTGTAAACTGTTACAGGTTTTGGTGTAATAATTTGTGTGTTATTTTCCATTTAATTAGGTGTTGACATTACTGCTCACACAGTGAGAGTACGGAAACAAATTCCTTCGAATTGAGTTGTACTATCCAGAGGTGGAGGTAGTATTGTGTAATATTTTGTAGATGAACCTGAATAATTTAAAAAGATTAATATATGTATCATGGTAAACAGTTTTACTCAAAGTTGAGAAAGAGCTGGAAAATTAGAAACTGAAAAGTTATAATTTAGCCACAAATAAGATATGTATGTTCATAATCCATTTATAGTATGAATCCTCCCCACCCCATTACTTTCATATAAACAATGAAAAGCCATAATTAATCAACAGTAGGAAGTGTATGTTTGTGACCAATGTTAGGTATCAAACCTCCCCCAATACATCCTATAAGGAAAGGAATAATTACACCAGGGTAAGACGTGTATGTTTGTGACCAATGTTCGGTATCAAACGTATCCCCAAACATCCTACATGCAACACGGGTATGTATATATTGCGCTGTTTGCTTTTATTGGATCATACAAATGAGCATAATGTTATTTACAAAAGCCTGTGGAGTTCACTTGTATATTCAGAAATACAGAAACTATATCCTGAAGATCTGTATACATATATCAAAACTTATATCAGAAATAAGAAATATATATTTTAGGTTACTTCAGGGGATTACCGGGTATAAAACATATTATCTCTACAAAATTCACTTATTAAGGAGAACTGTGGAATTGTTTGTTTTATACAGAGAATTTAACAAGAACTATGGTAATATTTAGTTACAGAGAAGCTGTATGGGATAAACCATGTGTTTCTATTGCAGGAGATTAAGAAGGAACCCCCTAAACCAGAACCAAGGAAACAGGCAAAGGTGAAACCTATGTCTGCTTCTGAGGAGAAAATGATGGACGATGCAATTGCTCTGGCTAACGAGTGTGCAGTTGTGTCAGCACAAAACCAGACGTCGGAGACACCCACCTCACCCACAGGGTACGGACCGGAGAGGATGCGGTCAGACTCTGAGAGTGGGTCAGAGTCTCCGAAACTCATCTCCAAATTAAAGAACTCATTTAAGAGAAGCCCCAAAAATGAGCGTAAACGGACTTTTTCTGAAGAGATTGCTCACAAAGGGGAGATAACTGAGGATGTTCCTCCAGAGGCCCAGGAAGCATACAATATTCTAGTGGTGCGTGGTTCTGTGAAGGAGGACCAGAGAAAGGAGAGACCTAAATACCCTGCCCCTGTGCCCGAGGCTAGACCATCATGGCAATCTAGGTCAGAATCCAAACCTTCCTGGCAATCATCAAAATCAGTGGACACCAAACACTCTTGGGAATCATCAAGAACTGCCTCAGAATCCAAACCTTCTTGGGAAACATCTCGGACTACTTCTGAATCTAAACCCTTGTGGGAGACCTCAAGGACCTCTACAGACTCCAGACCATCATGGGAAACAAAGAAGGATGTCACAAATAGCTTAAGAAGTAATGTTCCACTAGCCAGCACAGAGGAAGTGGAATTATTTGTTGACCTTGATCCCATAGAAAAAGTGGAACCTTCACCTCCTCGTCCTGTTCCTAAACCTCGTGTGGAAATTCCGAAAAAATATGAGCCACCCATCCCGTCACCAAAACAGAGGCCTGAGATTCATCGTGTCGATCCAGTGCCTCGCCCACAACAGCCTCCCCCTCGGATCCCCATGACCTCTGCTGCGGCTGACCTTCAGTGGGAACTCAACGAAAGTTTTGGGTCAAGTCACAGTGTGGCATCAAACCAGAGTTTTGGCAAAGAGAGTTCTCGTAGTGGTGGCTCAGATGTTCTTCGGATACAGGAGGATCGTGATGAGGTGTCAGAGAGGACATCAGTTCGTAGTTCTGACTATAGTGACTCGGATGATCCAAAGCAACACAGTGAAGTGTTGCGGATTGACCTACCAGACTCAACAGAGTATAGCACGGACTCCTCTAGCACAAAAGAACTCCACATTGATGAGGCACCGAGAAGAGACTCCAGTTCTAAATCTAGTAGTTTGTTTGATGAGGAGTTTAGTGAACCTTCCCCTCGGGAAATTATGAGCAAGCTGGCCAGGGAGAGCCGTATTCGGCGCTCACTGGACCACCAGCGTGGTGTTGTAGGAGACATGGGCGAGCCTGCCCCTAATAGGAATTTACGTGAACCCCAAGGGATCCCTGGTAAGAGTATGCCTTCAAGTAATGGTGATGATGAAGAAGTGGATACAAACCCGTTGCGGATGTTAAGGGGTGGAGCTATTCCAATTCGTGGAGGCCGGGCGGGACAAGGTAATGCTCGACCCCCAAATCGACCTCCCAAATTACCATATAGAAAACCGCAGTTACACCATTCTATGAGTGTTGACTCTGGAAGCAACTATGTGCAGCATGTCAATTATTCTAGTTCAATATATAACGGGGACGAATCCCCAGATAGTCGTGTAAATGGGTGTAACAATGTACCTCCTCGTAGGGAGTCGCCTGTGGCAGGCATTCCTGGGAGATCTAGACCCCCTGCTGTCCCACCTAGGTCCTACAGCATAAGTGGTGACGGCGGAGGTCGCCAGAACGTAAATCAAAACCCCCTTCCATTGCCACCTAGGACCTCCGCGACACGATCAGTGATCCTAAATGCACCTCGGGAGCGAAAGTACCCGCTCTTGCTGGACGACGCTGACGACTGCGGCAATAACTCGGAAGGTCGCTTATCAGCTCAGTCGTCCTCTGTTTTGTCACCGTCATCAGCAGCTGCTGTCCGTGTAACCTCTACCTCCTCCTCCTCTACTGTTGCATGGGCTCCCGCCGTCCCGGCCCGACAGGGACGACCTTCTGACCTTGGGCGACCTTCTGACCTCCCCCCTGCCCCACCTTTACCAGCCCCTTGTCAAAATGTAGATGAAACGAGTGATGATAGCTCGGACAGTGATGACGATAACTTAAATGATAGTGTATTTGAAAATGATTCTAGCCCTGTGATACATCAAAAAATTTCTAATACTCCCATGTGCCGATCAGGCTCCTCAACATTCCCTCGTGTGAAATTCCGTCTCAATAATAATGTTAAATGTAATTTGGAACAAATAGGATTTTATAATACCCATGATCCATTTTGGGTCAAGTCTTTGATCTTGGCAGGGGAGAGATTTTCAGATAGGGGAGGCTCGGAAGAAATCTCGCCCATCATGCTTGCTAACTACAAATCATCTGATGGCGTGAGCTACGAAGATTTGCTTGATTTTGCATTAGATAGGTATGGTGTTATGTGCGTGTGTCTATTTAGCCACTCCGTCACTTGCCATGCCTCAGACTTTACATCCTCGGGTAAATGCATAGTACACCAAAAAAGGGTCATTGTGACCTACTTTACCCCCTCACTGGTACAAGGTAACTGCTTCCTAGGTACAGCGGTATTGATCACACTACTGGTACTACTACCAAACTGAACCAGCATGGTACAAGGTTACAGGGTCAGGTTGTCAGCCAAACGTAGAGCTGTGTCCTATCGCCATCGGTAAACAGGCACATACAGCTCGGCCACCGCCACTAGCAGTATCCCACAGATACAAAATGTACAGATATGTACCACACTTTTCCTCAAGCTTTAAAAACATAGGTTTTGTTTTGTTTCCTTATTTCTGATTATTTATTTAACCAGATTTTAATACCATTTCTATTTTTCACTAATTTGTTAAAAGAAGCTTTTGAAGATTTGTTGATTACTTTTGTGTTCAATGAATTGCAAACATTCCCCAGTTGTTAAATCCACTGCAATTATGTCCTGATTATTAACATAGTGAGTATATATAGATGGTCGTAAACAACTGGAATCTACAAACTATTTCGTTTTCATTTGAACAGACAAAGAGGTAAGGTATGTAGAACTGAGTAATGTCCCCTTGTTTGACTTGTAGCAGCAACAACATCCATTGTATAAATAATGACAACAGAAATATCACAGGTAATTTACACAGGTAAAAGCTAATTAATGGTTCAGTAACTTGAAAATACTAAATATGTGTGTTTATTCTACTTAAAGAAAACAAATTCCAAAGAAAAACAAAATTCCAAATTTTGATATTGAGTTTTCTCATTCGTGAAATTTAAGCTGTACAAATATATTTTTTCAAAATCCCCAGGAAGAAAAGAATATTGTTCGTAAAGGTATTATAGATTAAAAGAGCTATCACAATGGATGTTTATGCTGTGGTCTATGAAAATATGGGCTGTATTTTTGGTACACATGGAATTAGCTTTAACTAAAACCCAGATAGCTACCATCAATAGAGGTTAACATTGTATGTGATATAGCTGGTACAGTACTAGTGTAACCATGGAAACTGCATGGTAAACTCTAGCTACAGAGTCACCTCCCTTGGCACATCGCATGCTGTTACTTGTTTGACATGTTTTCAAATTAACAAGAGTTCTTACCTTCTCTTGTTCACCTCTTGAGTTATAAAATCTGACTCCAGGCTTGCCTCTCAGTATTAATAATCTTTTAATCTGGCTAAGATTTCCCTTTTTTCATGGTGCACTTTGTATTTCTTGACAGGACTGTTTCAAAACAAATATTTTGTATTTCTTGAGAAATTGATATCTATACTGATGTCTTTTGTATTTTAAATAGTTCTATTGATATAGTAGACAGTTGAGAACTTTTTAATTGAATTACAATAAAACATTGACTGAATCTGTTGTTTCCACAATCTAACTTTTCCTGTAACACTTAACACATAATAAGTTTTTAAAACATTCAGAAAAAATATATTTACAGTACATTTGTATATAAAATTAATGTGTTATCTCTCTGGACTACAGGCTTGTCAGTGTCATCCTCCTAGTGTACAGTTACTGTTAGCCTAACATGTATAGATCTCAACTGGGTTAATTTCTGTTGTATACCTGCCTATGCAAGTTGAACCAGTATTGAGAAAACTCCTGTTTTAAGAGACCATCAGCCTTGAGAAACCACCTATTTTGAGAGATCATTGGTCTTAAGTGGCTATTTATCTTGAGAGAGCACCTGTTATGAGAGACCACCCATCTTGATAGATCATCGATCTTGAGAAACTAGACTTTCTTCAGGCAGAATGGCTCTTCTATGACCATGTCCAAAATAACAATTACTAAACAAAATGAAACTTGTCAGAGTAACAGCATTAGTGTGCCCTGGGTTGTGTGTTATACCACCTTTATAACTGTGGAGCCATTTATGTTTTCATTTCAGCTTTTGGTGAATTACTAAATAAATATCCAACAAGTTTGTCTAAAAAAAACTTATTTAATGCAATATTATTTGACCCAATAGCATCTTAGGTTTAGTGAGAAAACAAAACCTGCCAGCATATCCTCACCAAATCGGCCATTGTTGTTAGTTTGGTGTGTTGAAGGGTGGTAACTGTAGGATTTAAATGGCAGTTACTGAGAACATTCTTTTATGGTGGCTCTGATTGTACAGGGTCATAGAATTCAATATGAAATTTGATAATATTTTAAATATTTTGATGGATATTTATTTATCTTTCATGAAAATGTTGAAAGGGAAACATTTTGGCCTAGACAACAGGTGAGTGGTGACTAGTTTATACTGGAACTATAGTTAGCACTAGAAAACTAGACACTATGTGTCTTTGTCTGTCCGTCTGTCTGTCCACATGTATGTAACCGGCGAATGACATATACTCGAGACATAATCATGATATTCACGGAACCGGAATGAATCACATCCATATACAACTTATCTATATTCACAAGAATCAAATTCAGTATATACTCACCGAGTTAGAATGAGTCATGTTATTTATATATGGACGGGACTAATTTGTGTTCACACGATCCAAATGAAAATGTCAGTGAAGCACTCAAATTTGTACTTATTAACCAGATTTATTGTAGGTCTGAACATGAAGGAAACATTTAAACTTTATGTAAATTAATTCGCTATTTAAATATACATATGAGGCAGTTATGTTAGTGAGGAACGCCTGTTAGGTAATTGCTAGAATTCGTTAACCTTTATAACTTGTACTGTATACATATATGTCAATGCTTTCTACAATAGAGTTTATGATTTTAATGGTATGGAGCAAACAATGAGTCTGTTTTGGTCAGTAAAGCATAGCAATGCAACATAATAATTAAACAATTTATCAAACATTCAGTTGCAATAAATTGAAATAATTTGAGAATAATAGATGGTTAAGTTTAAGTCTGACATTGCATGTTATGAACTATCAGCAAGTAACAAGGAATATTAAGGTACCAAGTAGTTGTCATTCCCATTCAATTCTAATGATTTTCTTTCTGATACCAAGAAGTCGCCAACTTCCTGATACGAAGAGAAACTTAGTAGTAATCAACTTCATTTTATCAAATAGCGATCTATTTCCTCCTACTTTTAAAGCACTAAATCACTTTCCTTACTAAAATTTAATCCCATTTATATGTTACCAAGTAGAGATCCACTTCCTGTTTCCTAGAAATGATCCACTTCCTGTTTCCAAGTAATTATCCCTTTTCCTGTTCCAAAGTTATGATCCACTTCCTTTTTCAAAATAAAGATCCACTTCCTGTTTAAAAATAATGATCCACTTCCTGTTATTAGGAAGTGATCCACCACTTGTTACCAAGTAATGATCCACTTCCTGTTTCCAAATAATGATCCAATTCCTGTTTCCAAATAATGATCCACTTCCTGTGACCAAATATATTGCTGTGTTTTTGAAAAATTGTATGTTGGTTCTTAACATGCAATATTCATGTAAAAACCTTTTTTCCTTTTTACATCTATTTGTAATTCTGAAAATTAAGATCAAGTCAAAGTACTTAGATTGGTAGGATAGTACTATATCTGTGTCTCAGATTGGTAGGATAGTACTATATCTGTGTCTCTGTTCCACAATCAACGTTATAGAGCTCCAACACTATCTGGTAGAGTACATTATAACCAGTACATGATAAGTCAGTTACTCCATCAACATCAGACTTATACCTCAGTACAGACTAAACCATTGTTTACTATCATAGTACCTCATCATGTACAGATTTATTGTATAAACATTGTACATTTATATATAATCAAATCTCTAAAAATGGCAGGGGTCCTGACATGTAAACCTGAAACTCTGTACCTGTAGTACCTGTATCAAGTCCTAAGCACATACCCAGGTGTTGGTACCAATTTGTCAGTAGAACAAATTTTGTCCATTTGGCAACTGGTGAAGGGTTTATAAGGTGATACTATGCATATCCAGGGTGATGTACAGTCCTGAGGACGGCTGTTTGCTGTGATGTATAATCAGTAGTAACCATTAATCCAGACAGATTATCTCTTCTAGTTACCATTAATCTGGAGAGATTATCTCTCCTAGTTAACATTAATCTAGAGAGATTATCTCTTCCAGTTACCATTAATCTGGAGAGATTATATCTTCTAGTTATCATTGATCCAGTGTGATTATCTCTCCTAGTTAACATTAATCCGGAGATATCATCTCTTCTAATTAATATTAATCCAGAGAGATTATCTCTTCCAGCAATCAATAACTTGGAGAGATTATCTTTCGTAGTGATGACTAATCTCTAAGTGACTTTGATCCAGAATGATTATCTTAGTAATCATTAATCCAGGTAGATTATCTGTAGACTTCATAACATTAACTAGTTTCTTTGCCTTTCAGTGTTTTGTTTAGATATTTAGCCCTTTTAAAAAACATTTTAAAAGTTAAATAAGGTATTATTATTTTTGTTATTTTTTTATTTATTTTTGTTGAACAGTTCTTTATTTTTGGTGTTTGTTTTTGTTTGTTACCAGTATAAAAAAAAAATCTGTTATCACATATACTTTCTATTTGTTTTTTATAAATGGAAATGAGATTTTCTGTTTTATTAAAACATTTTGCTTTATCTAATTCTTTTCTTACATCTTTTTTACTATCATTCTGTATATAATTTTTATTTTAAAAGTTGAGAAACTATCCTAACTTGTACAATTTAATATTAAGCATTAATATTTTTCTTACAATTTCTGTGGTTCTTCTTGCCAGATGATTTCTTTGTTAACTTTGCATATATATATACTTAGTGGATGTTTATCTAAAAATGTATGGGAAGCAAAATACCTGCAAATGATGATACACGTGTCATTGAAAGAAACTTAGATAATATTCTAAATTTTCAAAAATGTTCTTGCATAACCCAGAATTTGATGACCTTTATAACACTGCTACCGTTTGTCAATCGGATATCTTT